TGGGGGACCCAATTGGGTCACCTGCTTTCTGCTCATAGAGCCACGGATGCCTGGTCTCCTTGGAAGAAGAGCCCTTAGGACCAGGGCTCTCCCTACACTCAGGACCTCCAAATGGGCAGATGTATCCTCAACAGTTGGAGGCAAACCTTCCATTGGTCTTAGGAGACATTTGACTACATCTGTGAAAAGCCGACCGCACATCTGCAGGGGGAAGCCACCACGTGAAATTGCCTCTTCCCGTGTCTCAGAAAGTAGCCATTGTTGTATTGGCTGGCCTCCCTGGTGACTCCATGCCCCATGGCAGAGTTCTTTAAGGTGGGCATCTCTACCCCTGCGTGCGCCTTCCATGGGGTTATGGATGCCACCTGTGCTCTTTCCCAGCACCTCCTGGAAAACCAGGCTGGCCCGGAGGAGGTGCTGAAAGAGAGCACAGCTGGAGAGGTTCTGGACTAAGCACAGCTTCCCGGTGTGTGCTGGGGCTACGGGAGGCACATATGGAGGTGTCCTGCCCAAAAGGGCGGGAAAAGAACTCTTAGAACTGCCATCAGTACTTTCAGGAGAGATTTGAAAATTTAACAGATAAAAGGAGTAGATAACAAGGTGAACAAAAGGAAAAGAAACCTAAGATTTTAATAAAAAGATCCTTAGATGAAAGTAGCGAATGTTTTGGGATATTTTCCTTGTGTTTCATTCTGTCCCAGCCTCAAAGCAGAGAATGGAATGTCCTCCAGATCAGGGTTTCTAATGTTTGTGACCAGCCCTTAGCCAAGAAATGCCATGGGTCTTCTCATTAGCCCCACGTCCCTTCTGTTATTATTTATGCATTCGAGAAACATTGGAGGGTCTGCTTTATGCCCAGGCATTATATTAAGTATAGGGTATTCACTAGTGATAAAAATGCACATTATTTTTGGGAAAAAAGTATAGTGGTTCCTCAAAAAGTTGAAAATGAAATTATCAGCAATCCCACTTCTGGGTATAAATTTAAAAGAATTGAAAGCAGGATGTCAAAGAGATATAGGCACAACTGTGTTCATAGTGTTAATAGCATTATTCACAATAGCCAACAGTTGGAGGCAACCAAAATGTCCATTGATGAGTGAATAAATAAGACATGGTGTAGACACAAATGAGGTGGCCTTAAAAAGGAAGGAAATCCTATTACATGCTATGACATGCATGAACCTTGAGGATCTTATTTTAAGTAAAATAAGCCAATCACAAAAGGACAAATAATATATGATTTCAATAACATTATGTATCTAAACTATTCAAATTCATATACCATGTTTCCCCGAAAATAAGACCTACCCATAAATAAACCCTAGCAAGATTTCCAAGCATTTGCACAATATAAGCCCTACCCCGAAAATAAGACCTAGTGATGGGCGTGGCTACACAGGGTATCTGCACAACCCATGCATTTCGTCGCAGGGTGGTAAAGAAGATGAGCAGCCCTTCTCATCTGCCCCATTGTGACAGCTACTATCCCAGAGGTGACCGGAAAGGTGCGGACAGCGCCACCAACAAAGTCGGCTCCCCCTGTCAGGTCCCAGCCATCCTGTGCGTGCTGCAAGCTGAGGCTTTGAGGGGAAAGTCTCTCAGAGAAGTGAGGAGCGGGACGCTCCGCTTTAGGTATTGTGTGTCCCCAGAGGGAAGAAGGAAAGCTGTGGCTGCCATTTTACTCAGCACGGTGAGCCTCTCTCACCCCCTACAAACACCAGGGGATAGGGGGAAAGCTTCAGCAAGCGGTCTCCTACTGAGCGCAGAGAGAATAACACATCCCCTGAAAATAAGCCCTAGGGTGTCTTCTTGAGGAAAAATAAATATAAAGACCCTGTCTTATTTTTGGGGAAACACGGTATATAGTAGAATATTGGTTACCAGGGGCTGGAAAGAGGGGGTAAAACTGTTTAATTATGTTATGGCCTGAATGTTTGTGTCCCCTTGAAATTTGTGTTTTGGAACCTAACCCGCAAGGTGATAATATTAAAAGGCGGGGTCTTTGGGAGATGATGAGGTCACGAGGGTGGTGTTGCAGTGAACTGTGTTCAGGTGCTTGATGATGGTTGGCTCCTCCACGGTGGTGAGCAGGTGCCAGATCTCTGTCGGGGCCCAGCGGACCCCAGATGGATCCTGGGATGGTGCCTGGGATGGTCTCACTGGCTCCTGGCCGGGGAACATGAGGGCTGAGGCCATTGGTGGGAATCTCAGGCTTGTCTTGTCAAAAAGAAACAGCACCAGTCACTTGTCAGATTTTATTCAGACTACTGCAGTAGGGAAGAGAAACTCTGGTATAAATTGAGCTCAACTCCAAGTAAGACAAAGGTAACTGGGAATTTTAAAGGGAGGATGGAGAGGTAACTCAAAGGGGCTATAGGGAAGTGAAAAAGAGAGACAAAGAAGGGCTAGGCATCTATGGCCATATTGCCTTGAATTACCCTGATCTCAGAGGAAGGGGTGGGCACTGGGAAAAAATTATAGAGGGAGTGAGTGGAAAAGTTACTGAAAACTGTCAGTATGGATTGGGACAAAGTCCTTTTTGCAGTTTGGCAGCATTGTGTTTCTTGAGCAAAGACTCAGCACAGGGGCTGGGGCCACCTTTCGGGACTGCCACGATCTGAATGTCCTCACAAGCTCGTGTGTTGCAACTTAATTGCCAATGTGATAGCACTAAGGGCCTTCAGGGCGTGATTAAGTCATGAGGGAAGAGCCTTTATAAACAGGATTAATGACCCTATAAAAGGGCAGGAGGAAACTAATGATCATCCCCTTTGGCCATTCTCTGCCCTCTTCCAAGATGAAGCAAAGACCTGGGCCCTCCTGAGACACTGAATCTGCCACTGCCTTCACCTTGGACTTCCCAGCCCCAGAATTGTGCAGAGATAACTTTTGGTTCCATATAAATTCCCCAGTCTCAGGTATTTTGTTATAGTAGCGCAAACCAGGTAAGACGGGGACACAGCCTAGTGCAGGCAGAAGGCAGGCTAAAGCTTGGCCAAGCCTCTTGGCATGGTGTTGGGGCAAGCCCTTTGTTTGTGCCACCTGGGAGGTCACAGTTCACAGTCTCTCCTGCAGCATGGCCTTCCTACTGGAGTAGTCTGGAGGCTGTGGGGCAGGAAGTCTGGAGGATTTCTCTTCTTTCTTTACAATCCCAGTGGGCAATGGGTGGACCTCACCCAGACGAAAGAGGCTTACCGTGAAAGGCCTTGCACCCCATTTCAACCTCTATTTAAGGGAGTGGCTGGTCAGGCAATAGGTCAGGACAATGTTGTTGAGGAGAGGACTCCTAGGGAAGCCCTCCCTGCTGCAGAATTTGCCAAGACTGCTGCTTTTCACGCCGCTTTAGCTGCTGGAGGTCGTCAGGGATGCTTGCGGGACAGCAGATGCTGCTGTGGAGGTTCCCAGGTGGTTGAGCTTGCTAATGTCCTAGGCCCTTGTGCTCTGCCACTGCTCTGCTCAAGCTGGAGCCTATGGCAGGAAGGGACAGAACCAGAGACTTGTTCTCCTGGCTCTCATCTACCCAGGCTGACCCACCCAGAGATCCCAGACCCGTCAAGAAGCCAGTGAGACAGCCAGTGTCACATCAGGAGTCTCTTTGGCTAGCCACAGCCACCCCAACCTGTTGACGGGAAGAGAGAAGTATGGACCGGCTGGTCGCGTCCTGTCTCGAAGCAGAGAGCAGGCTTCCTCTAAGTAAGCCCCAGGTGGCTCTGCCCACACATGTCTGCCTCACTGCAATGCACAGAGACTGAAAATACCCGAGCGACATTCTGCCTTCCTCCTTAGTTGCCTCCACGTCAATATGGCTCCCGAACAGCTCGCTGCTGCCAGGCCAGCAGGTCCTGTGCGCTGGCTGGCCAATGAGGTCGCAGGCTCGAGATGGGGCCAGCTGCCCTCCAGAGGCTGGTTGCACCCAACACCTTTGTTAGAAAATCCCTTGTGCTGCAACTGAACAGAACAGACTGGTTCCCACAGCATAGTTGACAGAAATATCTTGCCAGGCCAGACTGCTTTCTTTGTTAAGATAGTACCACCCACAGCTGTAAGCACAGCTGATTTCTCTGGAAAAGAGAGGCGTGTCATCCTGAAGACCACGACTGGCATGGCAAGGCCAGGACCTGGTGTTAGGGAATGCTCGTGGGACCCCACACTTCAGTCTGAGACAAAGGGGTGGGAAAGATAGGAAAGCTAGGTGTCAGAAAGTGCCACAACCCTCTCCTCTATCCTCTTGACCAACCGTGGCTCCCTGTTAAACCTCTCACAAAGTAAAAAAAAAAGTCAGGCTCAGGAATCTGTGACATTCCGGGGGCCCCAGAAAGCTCCTGTTACCAGGCACTGTTCCCAGTCTGTCTCCCTCATCTTCTGAACAATTCACCCCATGGGCCACCTAGAAACTGGTTAGGGCCAAAGATAGACAGACTTCAAGGCTTCCAACTTTAAGGCCCTGAAAGAGGGACCCATGAATGTGACTAAGCGAAAGAGAAAGGCTTGGAGGCTTACAGATTACGAGGAAGCTGGATACATGGGAACAAGAGGCCAAGGAATCAATCGGGATCTGAAGTTGTGTATTTTATGTCAATTCAACAGACATTCATTAAGGCATATTCTATGTTGGGCCCTGTGGTAAGTAAGCATCAGGGTAAGAAGTAGAACAAGACTTGGTTCACTGGGAGAGAAAGACATAAAAACTAACTGCAATATGGTAAAGGAAGCACCCAAGGTAAAATGCCAAAGCAAGGAGACGAGGTTGTTCCATCCCACGTTCATCTACAGGTTGTGCTGCTGGTGGTTCCAAGGCAATTGGGAGCCATGACCTTTTCTCCTTCTCTCCCCCTCTCTCCTCCTCACCCATTTCCTTTTCTTCCCCTTCTTTCTTCCTCCCCTACTGCCATCCAATGGCATCCAATGGCACTCAGTCTCATTAATAAAACAGTAAATACTACAGTAGTGCCCTCTTATCCCTTGGTTTCACTTTTCCCAGTTTTTGTTACCCGCAGGTGGTCAACCGAGCTCTGAAAATACTCAATGGAAAATTCCCGAAATAATTGGTAAGTTTTAAATTTCATGTCATTCTGAGCAGCAAGATGAAATCTCTTTCTGTCCTGCTCCGTCCCACCCGGAGGTGAATCGTCACTCAGTAGCTCTCTTGGTTATCAGATCACCTGTCCCGGTATCACAGAGTCTGTGTTCAAGTCATCCTTAGTTTATGTAATAATGGCCCCAAAATGCAAGAGTGATGACTCTGGCATGTTATTATAATCGTTGTACTTTATTAGTAGTTATTGTTGTTAATCTCTTACTCTACCTGGTTTATAAATTAAACTTTATCATAGGCATGTGTATACAGGAAGAAGCATAGTATATGTAGGGGTCAGGCCTATCTGCTGTTTTCAGCATCCACTCGGGTTCTTGGAAGGTGTTCCCCATGGAGAAGGGAACACCACTGTGAGTCGCTGGCTCCTCTTTTAAGGAAGCAGAACTTCCCCATGGAACTGTGACGACCAGCTCTTAGTTCTCTGCTGTGGGGAGGGCTCACCATGTTTGTTTATTATTTTTTGGACATGAGCTTCCTAGGCGACAAGAAATAAAATATAATTCCTAAGATCTAAACCAGTCAAACAGAAATAGCCCAACACAAAGAAAAGAGGAAAGTATCTGGATGGTTTGTCCTAATTTACTTCTTCTGAATTTTAATTTTTACATTTGGAAGATAATAGCTTCAAACTATTATCAGTTTCAAGCAGGAAATAGTTTGAAACCTACATTCATCACCCAAATTTTGTATATGTTAACATTTTGTTACATTTGCTTCAAATTTTTTAACAATAAAATATTTAGATTCAACTAAAGATCTATTACCCTTCCTTTGCCCCTCTTCCAGAAGTGGGTTTGTTTCATTCATTCCATGCATACTGTTTTTTTTTTTTTTTAAATACTTGCATTTTATTTCAGGCCAAAGCCCCTCAACTCTGAACTAAATGCCATGACAGTCCCACAGCATAGGCTGGTAGTTAAAGAGCCCACAGACAGGGTAGGATGGCCATAGGAAGGTGGAGTGGGTGAGAGAAGAACCTAAGAGCAGAGTAATACAGAATGCCTGTGATGCATACTGTTTCATTATGCTATATTTTTATGTTAATAAAAATAAATAGCAAGTTTGTACATCTTAAAACTTTATATAAAAGGTCAAATACTGTACATATCTTTTGCTGCCTGATTTTTTTCATTCGGCATTCTCCTGATATGGTAGCTCCATTAAACTTCCGTATTCCATTGTAAGAATAGACCAGTTTATTTCTATTACGTTTCTTGTGCTTTCTGTTAACTTTTACCATGCTTTTCTTTGATTTGTTTTCCCCACTTCTTTTCTTGGTTTCTGTGGATTGATAGTGTTTCCTTTATTCTTCTTTTCCCTCTGCTATGTGGAAATAATACATTCTATTAATATTTCAATTTTCTAGTCCTTATCCTTGAATTTTTAACATGAATAAATACCTTCAAAATCTCCATTCTCCTCCCAAATAATATAAAGACCTTAGGATATTTAACTTTAATTGGCTCTAGCCACTTGCCATGTTATTATTGTCTTGTGGTATCTAATATAGTAGCTGCTAGCCACATATAGATATTTAAATTTAAATTAATCAGAGTTAAATAAAATTAAAATTTTTTTCCTTATTTGCATACCACATTTCAAATGCTCAGTAGTGGCACGTGGTTAATGGCTACCATATTGGACAGAGCAGAAATAGAATATTTCCATCACTGACCAGTGTGCTATTTATTAGACAATGCTAGCGATTCGTATCTAGTTTTTACTGCCATCTTAGTTAGTCATTATTACTAAGTAGTATTAATTTTTAGAGTCAACACTTTCTTAGATTTACCTTCGTATTTACCAATTATTTTGTTCACCATTGTTTTTTGCATTTATAGGAATATAGGATATAGCCTAAACAGACTATTAAATCACTTTTCGTATTCTACTTCCTCTTTCCCCACTCTGCTGCATGTTAGCAATTTCCTCAGCTCCGTCTTCTAGTTTATCTCTTTTCAAATGTATCCGCTGTGCATTTAACCATTCCATTTATTTATTCTCTCAATAACTATATATTTCACTTCTAAAAGTTTGATTTGCTCAAATCTACCTTTCAGGGTCTTTTTCTGCCCTGAGTATTTCTCTACCAAAAAAACCCCCAAAAAACCCTTCATTTTAAATATGTTGATTTTAAAGTGTAACCTATTTTTCTGGCCCTCACTTGTCTAAGTTATGAATGGGGCTTTAGACTAAATGGCTTATAGAGTGACTTCCAGCTCTGAAATTCTACTATGCACCCTGATATTCATTTATATTTTAATAAATATTGTTGGAGTAATTTACATTTCCAAGTAATGAAGGTGGCATTGAAGCATGCCAGTGAATAAAGAATAATTATTTTAAAAGCCACGTCCCCCAGACCTGTAAGGCTCTGAGCCAACACCTTCAGGTTCCTCATATCCACTTCCTGTATTAGCATGGAGAAAAACAGGTGGCTTACCAATGGACACAGGCCAGGAAAAATTTCCATCTGGGTTTAGTTTTGGATCAGAGATATTTTTTGGAGGCTCATCAAAGGATCCAGTGAAAGGCTGGGAAAAAGAGGTGAACATTAAACTTCTAAGCTTCTTAGAGATTTTTGTTTTGATCCTTGTAGCACATAAAATACGATGAAATCAGAGTGCCAACAGTTTCCCTGCACTTTCAAAAGCCAACAGAATATTGGAGGGCTGGAAGAAGAAGGAAGGCCTGTATTTCTTTTTATCTAAAGATTCCCATCATTCCGCTGGAAGAATGTAGTAAGATGCTGGAAGGGAACTCTGGGCATGAGCTGGGGTGCAAGATAGGGGGAGGTGATTTTATTTCTCAAAAGAGCGAGTGAGTGATCAATACAACCATTTCTACAGCTTTTATCTCACAGTGCCTTGCAAACATTTTTTTCAAATTCTGCTCCTATGTTGTCAAATGTTCAGTGAGTAGAGGATACAATGAGATTCAGTCGCCCCAAGCCCTGGCTTCTGGGTTTATCACAGTGATTGTGAATGCTGTGGACAGGAACTGTAGCTTCTTAGACAAATGACATGGATCTAGTAAAAATGAATATTCAACTTGCTCCAAGCAGCACTGCCTGTCCACCCTCTTTTCTAAACAGATGCAGTCAGGATGCGTTTATGATTTGTTTTTTATTCTTTGCTTAGATTTTTAGAATAAACTTGACTGAAGCATAATTTGTAGATACTTTGCTTTACGAAGGTATAGTTTATATATATATATAGTAATTTGTTCTAAAATGAAACAAAATATGATTTCCTTTCTTTTTCCACCCTTTTTTTTTTTTTTTTTTCATTTTTTTTTACAGTATGTCATGAGCAGGTAACCACCCTTTCTTTTTCCTTACATCCTCGACAATGTATTGAAACTAAATGTCAATTTTGCATTCTTTTCCAGACCACTGCTGTTCTGGGAGACTTAGTTGTCTCTGAAATTTCTTTTCCTTTCCGTCTTAACTACAAAACAATTGTTCATTCTAAATATAGATCTAAGTAAAGGTCAGTAACATCTATATGCTTTTTGTAAGCCCTTGAGGCACTGTGTCTAATTATGTGACATAATTATAATTTTTATTCCTTCCTCTTTCTCATCTCATTCCTTCCTACTTCTATCCAGATAGCTTTTATTTTTTTACTTTTATTTTTTTTGAGACAGAGTTTCACTCTGTTGCCAGGGCTAGAGTGCCGTGGTGTCAGCCTAGCTCACAGCAACCTCAAACTCCTGGGCTCAACCAATCCTGCTGCCTCAGCCTCCCGAGTAGCTGGGACTACTGCCCGGCTAATTTTTTCTGTATATTTTTAGTTGGCCAATTAATTTCTTTCTATTTTTTTAGTAGAGATGGGGGTCTTGCTCTTGCTCAGGCTGGTTTCAAATTCCTGACCTTGAGCGATCCTCCCACCTTGGCCTCCCAGAGTGCTAGGATTACAGGCGTGAGCCACTGTGCCCGGTCCCAAATAGCTTTTAGATCTGTCAGTTTCCCCCTGAAATGTCTCACCCTCATCCTTTCTTTTCTGACTCTTGTTTGAAGACTCCTTTTTTGGCTTCATTTCTTTTTATTATGGATTCAAATAATCCATTCTACACATGCCCTGGCTAGATTAATCTTCCTAAAGCACAACTTTGATAGTGTCTCTCCTTTCCTCAAAAGCCATCAATGGCTCCCTTTTGCCTCCTAAATCAAGCCCAGTCTACTTACTCTGCTAGTCAGTGTGGTCTACAGTTAGGCCTCATGCACTCACTTGCTTCCAGTCCTACCCTGCACTCACCTCTCTTGCAGACCCTGCATTTCAGCCACGCTGGTATCTCCCAGGGCCTTGGCTGTGATTGCCTAGAGGCAATATTGACTAGCTTTTGGTCAAGGCATCCTCAAACTACGGCCTGCAGGCCACATGTGGGTGTTTTTGCCCGTTTGTTTTTTTACTTCAAAATAAGATATGTGCAGTGTGCATAGGAATTTGTTCATAGTTTTTTTAAACTGTAGTCCGGCCCTCCAATGGTCTGAGGGACAGTGAACTGGCCCCCTGTTTAAAAAGTTTGGGGACCCCTGCTTTGATCCTCAGATCAAATACTGCCTCCTTTCATTAGCCTTCCCTCATCACTCCAGTGCAAATCTGTATCTGTCATTTTTTAATGTATGTAATACTTCAAACTATGCCTATAACACATTTTTTAAACTCAATTAAAATATTTTAAAATGTAAGATATTTGCTCAATATTTAAGTAAATTCTACTGAGTCTTATAGGTCAGACTCTGCATTTGCATTGTAACATGCTCGTTTTGTTCTTAAATGCTATTTGATATAGCCATATAGACCTGGGTTCAATTCCTGCCCCTGATCCTTATTGGTTAGGAATTCTGGAATCTTTTAAGCTTTAGTCTCCTCACCTGTAAAATGAGGATTCAAAATAACTATCTCACCAGGTGGGGTAAAATTGCATGGTAAAGTGCTTAGCATAGTGTCTGGCACATAGAACAGGCTCAACAAATGGTTACTATTATTTCAAGGTAAATCATAAGTTATTTTAAGATATAACTTTTTATACTCAAAAGCTGTTCTAGTATAGTAGCCACAGACCACATGTAGTGATTGAGTACTTGAAATGTGGCTAGTCTGAATTGAGATGTGGGTATAATAAAATACACACTGGATTTTTTTTTTTTTTTTTTGAGACAGAGTCTCGCTTTGTTGCCCAGGCTAGAGTGAGTGCCATGGCGTCAGCCTAGCTCACAGCAATCTCAAACTCCTGGCCTTAAGCAATCCTTCTGCCTCAGCCACCCGAGTAGTTGGGACTACAGGCATGTGCCACTATGCTCGGCTAATTTTTTCTATATATATTAGTTGGCCAATTAATTTATTTCTATTTATAGTAGAGACGGGGTCTTGCTCTTGCTCAGGCTCCTGACCTCAAGCAGTCCTCCTGCCTTGGCCTCCCAGAGTGCTAGGATTACAGGCATGAGCCACTGCACCCAGCCTTATACACTGGACTTTTAAGACAGTACAAAAAAGTAAAATATTTCAATACTTCTTTATACTAATTATATGTTCAAATTATAATATTTTGAATATTATTAAATATATTATTAAATTAATTTTACCTGGTTTTTGTTGTTTTTTTTTTTCTTTTTAAAATGTGCCTACTGGAAATTTTACAATTATGTCTTGCATTATATTTCGGTCAGGCAGCACTGACCTAAAAGTCTCTGTTCCAGGACAGAATTAGGTAAACAGATGCTCAACTACTATTTGATTGGTTGATAGATAAGGCTAAATTTCATCATTTTGTTACATTAAGAGACTGTATCTTTAAAAATGCACACTTACAATTTGGCACAGTGGCTCATGTCTGTAATCCTACCATTCTGGGAGGTCAAGGTAGGCGGATCCTTTGAGGTCAGGAATTTGAGCCCAGCCTGGGCAAGAGTGAGACTACGTCTCTACTAAAAAAATAGGAAGAAATTAGCTGGACAACTAAAATATAGATAGAAAAAAATTAGCCAGGCTTGGTGGCACAGCTACTCGAGAGGCTGAGGCAGGAGGGTCACTTGAGCCCAGGAGTTTGAGGTTGCTGTGAGCTAGGGTGACACCATGGCACTCTAAGCCAGGGCAACAGAGTGAGACTCTCTCTGTCTCAAAAAAAAAAGCACACTTATATCAAATTCAGACAGATTTCTATTTTTATTAGAGAAGGGGTCTCACTCTTGCTCAGGCTGGTCTTGAACTCCTGAGCTCAAGCAATCCTCCTGCCTTGGCCTCCCAGAGTGCTAGAATTACAGACGTGAGCCATTGTGCCAGGCCTCTCCTCCATCCCCTGACCCCTCTCCAACTACCATCCACACCATCACCAATGGTCAACATTTATTTAATGCTTAATAACTATTAATGCCAGGTACTTTTCTCAACATTTTACATCTGTTGACTTCTCTGAATACTTAAACCATTCTTTGAGCTAGATACAACTTCTAACCTAATTTGAAAGGTGAGGAAACTAAGTCACAAAGTAGTAAAGTAAGTTGTCTAGTCACACAGCTGATAAGTAGAGCAGCCAGAAAGAGTAACCAAGTCTGCCTGTCTTGGTGCTCAAGACACCAAGACTATAGACTATAGCATCTGGGGAAGCTTCTGAATTATTCCTGCTGCAGAAAAGAACAGATCTGCTTGGCCAGGGCGAGCCTGCACCTGTAGATTATTCCTTAAACTGGTCTAGCACCTAGAGGCATAGATTTTTCTGACTTACAAACTTTTATAGTTTTTGAGTGTCAAAGGACTGCTAATGGATTATGATACTTTCCTGAGCACCTGAAGCAAGTTATTAATCACAGGGTATTGTTTGAAATGTTTTGCAATATGTAACGCTATTCATTGTTTTAAATAAAGGTATTTATCATTTAGTATTAATATTTATTATGGGTTTGTAGTGTGCCTTTGAGTACTTTTTGGTTCCTGAGGACATGGAAAAATAGAAGTAGCACATGTCCTTGGCAATGTCTTTGCAGTATTTTGTTTTCTTTCCACTGTCTTCTTGCACACTTCTGCTCTCCAGTGAGCCCCCTAGCGTTTATTTAGCCTTGGAGATCGGCTTGGGTCCATCAAGGCCTAGGGTGGAAAGAAAATGTATACAGAGGAAAGCAAGAATGTGAGCAAGTATGGAAACTGTTGATACACTACTTATTTGGTTATATGTGCTTTTTAATTTTGAGCCAGAAGTAGAGGAGGGCCGTTGGCTAAGCTCAGCTGGACTCTTTATGAGGTATGTATATTACAAATGCCCCAACTTTTCTTTAGCAACAACTGGATTGACGGTTCTCTCTAAGCAGTTTGGAGGTGTGGAGGATAACAAAGGAAAGTTGCTTTCTCTGTCTAAAGATCTCATACCCTAATGAAAGAATGGAGAAACACCAACTAAATAGCCACATGTTGTTCTCAACTGAAGATGACGACATTAGGGAAAATCAAATCCTTCTCAAGGACCATGGTGTGATTAATTCATTCAATAGAATTGTGCTTACATAGTTTTCAAATTTGCCACATGCTCATAGAATGTTAGAGTGAGATAGATTATTAGAGATTTACTAATTCAACTTCCTCATCTTATATTGTATATGAGGAAACAAAAGTCCAGAAAAAACTGTGTTAGAATCAAAGATGTGGTTTCTAGACCACCACTCCTTTGGACTTTCTACTGCAAAGACTTGATTTCTTTGCTGGTCTGAAATAACTGGTTCTTTTAGGATTAATTTCAAGTTGTGTCCAGAGCAGAGAATATCATTAGTATTGTGTTTCATAAATTCATAAAATGAGAGCTATGATCAAGTGATAAAGACAGTCTGAAGTTACTAACTCATTATCTCTTACTATGTAATTGCAAACAGGATCTTCATTCTAGAATTTCTTTTTCTTTTGCCTGTTAATATACACAAAAGCAAGCAGTCAAGTGATGGTCTTTTTTCTTTGACTATGGGTTGATTAATCTGCCCACTGGGATGGCACAAAACATATAGTAACTCTAAACTGAACAATGATAACTAGAAATACATACACACATACAAATAGGTGGCATATATATTTTGTTTAAGCAGATTATAGTTAGAATATTTATCAGTACATAGTGAGTCCTGGAGACCTTCAAACATAAGCTAATAATCAGTTGTCCAGAATTTCAGATAAAGAGTTACCAAATGTCTGGTTATCAGGCAATCTGCTATTTTAGCTTCTTGTTCAGTAAAATTAAAAACATATGCTGTGACAATGGGCATGTTCTTTATTGTGCACTGAGTGGTTACGCAAGTGTGTACTTGGGTAAAAATTCATTAAGCTGTACACTTAAGATTTGTGCATTTATGCATACATAAAATTATACCTCAAAATAAACCTTAGAAGTATAATAAAAAACCAACCATGAAGGACTAAACACAAACAAATTTGGACATGCAATTGATCTTTTAATCATTATAATTTCATATGTGCTATATCTTAATTATTGACTGATAACAATTAGTGGCACGAAACACTTTGTTCTCTTGTGTGTAACTTTCAGTAAACTAATTTACTTAAAAGGATCCTGTAATCTTTTTATAAGGTGAGAAAGCCTTTAATTTACCCATTTGCAAGTAAGATGGTGTAGTTCAGAATTTTGTATAATAACACAAGAGATGTTCTCTAGAGCGGCTGGGTACATACTGAAATTTTTTTTGTTCACTTCATCCTCTTCTGCAGCCTGGTATCTCTGTGGGGACCTTCGGGCAATGGTATTCAGGTAGCAAATGGGTCCTGACTAACCTTTCCCTAAGATGCTATGATTCTAATTTCCATCTCATAGATTCTCAAAATCCATTCTTTCCCCCATGCCACTGGAGGGCAGTTCTGATTTGCACATCTTAGAAACGATTTGTTTTTATGTTTTCACCTTCCTGCGTTACAAATTCCGTTCTCTGATGTTTATTCTCCTTTCAAAGACAGTCCTACCACCAGGCTGAATTTGGTCACTGCGGTGGGGTCACAGAGCCGCAGCTTGAAAAACCCAGCAAAACATCCGGAAAAGGGGAGAGACTACAACTCCCAGAATGCAGCGCTTCCCATCTCTGCGGTCCGCCCCCTTTGGCTGCCCAATGACTGTTCTGAGACCCTCCTCTTGGCCTCATTGGTCATCTTTCCCGTCAGTGAGGGCGGAGGAGGGCGGAGAGAGTCAGAGCACCCCGGATGGCACATTTCCCGCCACGCAAGGCGCGGAGCGGAAAACCCGAAGAAGAGGAAGCTCTCGATTGGACACTCGCTATTCTGGCGTCAGAGGACTCAGCCAATCATAGTGTGTATATGCTCCCAGCGTCTCCGCCTCTTCCTCCTGGTAGCCTTTGGTGGCGGGAAAAGTTCGGAAGTTTCCGCGCCGGGGCGGAGACATCCTGGGTCCCTTCACGCTTCTTCGGTACCGGCAGTTCCAAGGCAGCGGGCATGGCGGGGACCGTGGTGCTGGATGATGTGGAGCTGCGGGAGGCTCAGAGAGACTACTTGGATTTCTTGGACGACGAGGTGAGCGGGATGCCGGGGCGCGGGCTCTCGTGGACCAGCCGAGGGAGGTCGCGCGGGATGCCGCTCCTCGCCCGGGCAGCGACAGGGCGCGGGAGCCGGAGGCCCGCCAGACCTCCACACTGCGGGCCGTGGCTCTGCCGGCCCGCCCGGAGCCTCCCACCCAACCTTGTAGCTTCTCTTGCTGTGGAGTGAGTCCCCAGTTTGTGTTCTGTAGGTGACCTTGGAGAGCGATCTGTAACTTTCTCCTGAGTACAGGTGATGGTCCGGGCGCGCGAAAGGCGACAGGTTCCTATCAAGTGCAAACAAAATGGCAAAACCCACGTTGGCCTTTTCCACGTCGTGTCTGGCTCTCTATTTTGGGGGGATGGTGGGGGAGAGACTGCTGTAAGGCGGTAATGACCTGCAGTCTTGTAGGGTGCTAAGATTTTAGTGACTCATTTTCTACCAGGAGGGAAAGACTTCCTATTTTGGTTGCATTCTTTTTCAATACCACAGGAGATGCAGATGAAAAAGTGTTGTATGCAGATTAAGGGGGTTTTGTGTGCAATCCAAGATAAACCCATAGACTACTGATGAAGCATCTTGAAGGGTTGATGTTGTAAACAAATAGCTAAAGCTCCCTACTCCTTTAGGTTCAGATATGATAACTCTTTCTTTTTTGTTGGGATATTTTTTTTCCTTCCGTACTTTTTTTTTGAATGCCGTTTGTTTCGTTTTTTTTTTTTCTGTCTGTTTAATTTACACTTTTTATTGTATATATTTAAAGTGGGCAACATGATGTTTTGATATACATAGTGAGATGATTACTACAGTCAAGCAAACAAATATCTGTTGGCATTGTTTCCTTTTGTCATTAAGTTTACATTTTAATAAGGTTTTTTACTTATTTTCCTTTTAGCCTTCTTATGAACCCATTTTAATTCCCTGTTAAAGGATGAAAAATGACTATACAGAAAAGCTGTTGATTGTGGTGGGAGTAATAGCATAGACTTTGAGGAATTCATTATAATTTTTACAGTCTCCCGGGAGGGTGTATTTGGAATTTGGGGATAGTGAATAAAAGGGAGAAATCGGTAAACATATACTTGGGATTCAGCTATGTCACAGTGATTGACTCTCATTTATTTTGCTGTGAGAACTGCTTCTTTTTTGAAAAATTTTATTTTTGAATTTGTGGCTCTTGTGATACGTGGTGGCTGTTTTGCAGGAAGACCAGGGAATTTATCAGAGCAAAGTTCGGGAGCTGATCAGTGACAACCATTACCGGCTGATTGTCAATGTGAATGACTTGCGCAGAAAAAATGAGAAGAGGGCTAACCGGTGAGTGGCAAGGGTTTCCAGGGGGATATCCTGGCTCTGAGGGAGAATAGCTCCCCTCCCTCTTGTCTGGATTGGAACAGGCTTCCCTGGAGAGGACCTAAATGAAACAGGGGTGACCCAGAAGCCCTCATGGCTCATCCGCACCTACATTTTTTCATTCCAAAAGTAGGTGGTGAGCATTTTCTTCTTAAGTGCCTCTTTTTCTAATGTTTTTAGTTTAATGTGATTTTTATATCTTTGATAAGTTGAATTAAAATTGGTCCTCAGTTCTGATGTATTTTACTTAGTCTTGTAGGATAACAGGAGAAAGTAGGAGCTGGATTTTCTCTTCTTGCCTTTAATGATCTAGGAATGTCTACTGTTTTGAGGCTCAGTTTTTTTGAGTTCTGCCCTCTCTGTCTAATTCTCTCTCTTGCCCATATACAGCCTCCTGAGCAATGCCTTTGAGGAACTGGTTGCCTTCCAGCGGGCCTTAAAGGATTTTGTGGCCTCCATTGATGCTACCTATGCCAAGCAGTATGAGGAGTTCTACATAGGATTGGAGGGCAGTTTTGGTTCTAAGCACGTCTCTCCCCGGACTCTTACCTCCTGCTTCCTTAGCTGTGTGGTCTGTGTGGAGGGCATTGTCACTAAATGTGAGTGTGTTAAAGGGGGACACTAAGGAAATGGAGGTGGGGGGACTTAGGGAGACTGGGGAAACAGGATAGGCAAAGTAGATCTGGGTAGCTTGTGGCTTCAGAGGGTGGAGCATTGACATTATGTGGTAAAACTCAGAGTAGCTGAGCATGCATGATGATTAGGAGGACCTCGAGTGACCACTTGTGTTAGCAGAATTCATTCTGCTGAGAGCTGGAGGAGTCTTGGTTCCTGGCAGTCCCCTCATTCCAAACATAATCTCCTACTGTCTTTTAGTTGGAATCAGTGCTATTAAAATTTTACATAAATGTGGTATTCTATATATAAATGTAAAAATGGGTAAAAGACAGGTTGTATTGAAATAGCTTAACCTAGATGGAAGAACACAGTATTTGGAATTGTCATAGGTTTGTATGGGTTTAGGTCCCACCTCTATCACTGTTTAGTTGGATGACTTTTTTATGCACACTTTCCATTCCTAGGCTCTTTAGTTCGTCCCAAAGTTGTCCGCAGTGTCCACTACTGTCCTGCTACCAAGAAGACCATAGAGCGACGTTATTCTGATCTCACCACCTTGGTGGCCTTTCCATCCAGCGCCGTCTATCCCACCAAGGTGAGGGGCGTGAGTTGATTGGGCCTCCTTGGGGGTTGAAGTCAAAGATACATATTTTAACATTATTAATATTAATATTCCTTTAATAAGGAATAGTGTAATATCTGAAGTCTGTTTTCTAGAAGTAGAGAGAGTGAAAAGAAAGTATTAATCCCAAGGAAAGACTGATTTTTGACCAGAGTTTAATAAGGAAAGTCCACAATTCTTATTTTTATTTATTTATTCATTAATTCATTTATTCATTCATTTATTTTTAGAGACAGGGTCTCACTGTGTCATCCAGACTGGAGTATAGTGTCTACTCACATGTGTCATTGTGCCACACTATAACCTTTAACTCCTGGGCTCAAGTGATCCTCTTGTCTGAGCCTCCTGAGTAGCTGGGACTACAGGCTCATGCCACCGTGCCCAGCTTCACAATTCTTATTTTTTTAAAGAAAGATTAATATTCACTTTAGAAAATTATGAATGGTCAAAAGAAGGAAAAAAGTCATCCAACCTACATAGATCTCTTAGCATAGTCATAATCATGTATAATTTTATCTTCTGCTTTTTAAAAGTAAACTAGGAAAAAAAAAAGTAAACTAGAAAAGTACTTGTGCTATAACATTACTGTGTAATCTTTGCAGATATTTCACTGTGGGTTTGGGAGAAAGGCAGCATAGTAAAGGGCTTTGTTTATTATTAGTGTTGAGATTGATCCGGATTCAGGACAGTGCAAAGCTTTTCTTACTTAATGAGACACAAGATCATTAATGTTGATTACTTGATGTCTGAACTCATTCTAGCAAAGAATACCTCCTCTCCCCCCATCACATTTTAATTGAGAGCTACTGCGTCCAAAGCATTGGTAGGCACTGTGGAGGACAAAGATATAAATAGACCCAGTCCTTGTCATCAGTCTTTAAATTGGTGGAGAAATCAAACGTATAAACAAACCAAAATAAGAATGAGTATCCTAGAATTATACATACTTGAAACATACTTTAGAATTATTTAGTTTACCTCCAGATGAAATGCTGAGATTCACAGAGGTTAAATGAATTGCTTAGGGTCCCAGTTAGTGATGGCCTTACGGACTAGGACCCATGTCTCTTTAGTTCAGGGCAGGTGCATTTTTAAAGTCATCTTGTTTTCTTCTTTATTGAGGTCTCCACTTTCTATAATTTATTCTTTAGGCAGTACTCAGGGACTACTTTTCTGCTGGTTACTGCGGCCCAGCTTCTTTGCTTCAGAAGTGAAATACGTTGGTCCAGGTCTTCTGGGTATTGTCTAGTGTGCTGGGCTTTGGGTTACTCGTGTGTCAAGCCCAGCTCTGCTACCTAGTTTAATCTCTTCTAGTCTCAATTTCCTTGTCCATAAAGTGTGAAAAATACCTGCTTTACAAAGTAGTTATGATAATTATGAGATAATTTCATGAAATAATAGTACAGTGCGTGGCACATAGCAAGTACTCAGTAAGTGATAGCTGTTGTGTTTTTAGAAAATTCAATTATCAAGGAAGTAAAAACTTTAAAAATGTTTTTATTGAAGTTTAATATACATACAATTACTGAAAGCTGCATATACCTGTATAACCAGCATTCAAACGAGGAAACAAAACCTTACTAGCCGTCAGAAGTCCTTCTAGAAGGCCCATGTTACTCTAGGGTAACCACTATCATGATGTTAACAGCATAGATAACTTTTGCAGGTTTTTCTGTTTTATTTAAGTATTCTTTTGTTTGGGGCTTCTTTTGCTCAACATTGTGTTTATAAAATCCATACATGTTGTTTATAGGTGTGCTTCATACATCTTTATTGCTGTATAGTATAATATGAATATATCACATTAATTTAACCATTATACTATTGACAGCATTTGGATACTTTCTAATTTTTGACTATTAGGAATAATGCTGCTATGAGCATTATAGGCATGGCTTTTGGTGAACATTTTTGTTGGGTATTATGTAGCAGTGAAAAACTGCTTCAGAATGTAAGCACGTATTCAGCTTTAGTAGGGAAATTAAGAATCTTAATTTAGATGCTGATATAGCCACGGTCCCTTCAGACTATGGGTTGCCTCTTCCATTAGATGGTTTGTTGCTAGAACAGAGATAGTGATAGAAAAAGAGAAGATACCTAGGTTTTTATTTTTCGTTTGGCTTCTGTGTACTAAAATTTCATGAAGTCATCTTATTGTTTTCCAGAACAGATGAGTGTAGCATTTTTAAGACAGGACTGAGATGACTCTACTTTTCTATGTGCCTTTTTCCAGGATGAGGAGAACAATCCCCTTGAGACAGAATACGGCCTCTCTGTCTATAAGGATCACCAGACCATCACCATCCAGGAGATGCCGGAGAAGGCCCCAGCCGGCCAGCTTCCCCGCTCTGTGGACGTCATTCTGGATGATGACTTGGTGGATAAAGCAAAGCCTGGTGACCGAGTCCAGGTGGTGGGAACCTACCGTTGTCTTCCTGGAAAAAAGGGAGGCTACACCTCAGGGACCTTCAGGTAAAGGGTCTGCTGTAAAGTGTTTGGAATGCTGTTGGCAGCTTCCATTTCTGGTAGTATCCTTTCTCCAGTTTGCCATATCCCAGAGATAGGTGGACTATTCTACCTGGGTGGGAGATGGGATAGCCTCTGATACCTCTTTTCTTTTTTTTTTAGAGACGGAGTCTCACTCTGTTGCCTGGGCTAGAGTGCCATGGCATCAGCCTAGCTCACAGCAACCTCAAACTCCTGGGCTCAAGCAATCCTCTGCCTCAGCCTCCCGAGTAGCTGGGACTATGGACATGCACCACCATGCCCGGCTAATTTTTTTCTATATATTTTTAGTTGTCCAGCTAATTTCTTTCTATTTTTTAGTAGAGACAGGGTCTCACTCTTGCTCAGGCTGGTCTCGAACTCCTGAGCTCAAAGGATCCTCTCTCCTTGGCCTCCCAGAGTGCTAGGATTATAGACATGAGCCATTGCGCCCAGCCTGATACATCTTTTCTATCAGTGAAGCTGGTGATACTTAACATCTTAAGCCAAAAGTGGGAGTTATTGATGATGCGATTACAGCCTCATGGCTTATCTGGGAATTTCTCACTTATTCCTACCTCCTTCACATACACACTTCTGTCTTTAGCTCTGTGGATCATCAGGAGCTAAATAAATTCCAGAGATGGGACATGATCAGTATATTTGAGTCATATACAGAATCATTTGTTTAATTAAGAATAGCTACACACTGCTCCCCCCAGCCACTCCAACCTCCCCGCCCCCACCACCATAAAAAACTAGTTTGCTGGTCTAGTTTAGTAGCCTACAAAGGCTTACTCCTGGAGGTGCTAGCTACTGATGTTAGGAATCGAATATAACAGACTTCCTCTTAACTCTCTTTGTCCCAGGACTGTCCTGATTGCCTGTAATGTGAAGCAAATGAGCAAGGACGCGCAGCCTTCGTTCTCTGCTGAGGATATAGCCAAGATCAAGAAGTTCAGTAAAACCCGTTCCAAGGTCTGGGAATCCTTTAGAGATATGAGTATGGAAATGGATTTGTAATTGGGGAGCCCAGGAGTTAGAGGTTGCAGTGAGCTATGATCACACCACTGTACCCAGCTTGGGCGACAGAGTGAGACCTTGTCTCAGAAAAGAAAAAAAGTTGTATTTTGGTGCATGGCTGTCTTTGTACTGGATCAGGAGGAACGGTCAAGGGTTTTTTTCTCTGAAATATTTAGTACTAGCTTCTGGTTTTTGTCCCAATCAACAAGTGTGAAAGGGTGTTTTTGCTGGTTGTTCTTAATAATTCTTTTGTACTACTTGCTGGGCTGCTAAGTGAGCCTAATACAAATATTACGAGTACCAATAAGTCTATTAATTACTGAAGACATTAGTGATACATTATTTAAATTTAAAATGTTATGGTTTATTTCCTATCTTTTTTTTTTGAAGACAGATGTCCACATTTAGAATTGAGCTACAATTCTAAATTGTATGAATGTGTGATAAAGGTTACTGCTGAAGCACAGTACACAGTCTTATTCCTAAAATGTTGAAGCTAGGAACAATTTTTTTTTTCTTAAAGATTAAACCTCTAAACAAGTTTTGGAATCTAGGCTGCCTCTGCATGTGCTCTGATAATAGTCTAATAATGTGATTTGTATATTTCAAGCATTTTCTGTTGGCCAAAGTATAAAATGGAGCTCTGCAAAACCCCACTGAATCTCACTTAGCTTTTCACTCTATTGGTTGTCTCTCCTCTAGGATATCTTTGACCAGCTGGCCAGGTCATTGGCCCCTAGTATCCACGGACATGACTATGTCAAGAAGGCAATCCTCTGCTTGCTCTTGGGAGGGGTGGAACGAGACCTAGAAAATGGCAGTCACATCCGTGGGGACATCAATATTCTTCTAATAGGTATGGTATCGAGGATTTGCTTTAAACTCTTGTCTTACCTTGTGGAGACATAAATAGTAAGAATGTGTGTTCTGTACCTGGCAGTATTTTAGGGCAAGAGGCTAAAATAAATCTTTTTTTAAAAAATCATTTCTGGAGTTCCTGACTTATAATAGCTAAAATACATTTTCCCATGAATGGTAAAGGGAAAAGTGAAGGAAATAATATTAACAACCAGTTACTGTGTATCTCTGTGTCAAGAGCTGTGCTAGAAAAGTAGACTTGCTGTGGGGAGTGGGGAGTTTGGAGTTTCTTAGAGAATCATCACCACCCCATACCGCAGGAGACCCGTCGGTTGCCAAGTCTCAGCTTCTGCGGTACGTGCTTTGCACTGCACCCCGGGCCATCCCCACCACTGGCCGGGGCTCCTCTGGAGTGGGTCTGACGGCCGCTGTCACCACAGACCAGGAAACAGGTAAAGGTGTAAGGGTCCTTGGCAAAGGCCCAACAGTGAGATTGAGCACAGATTCTTTGAGCTTGCTCTAGGCATGGCTTGTGTTCTGAAGATAGTTAAGAAGCTAGTTGGGGCCAGATTGTATGAGGACTGAGTATTTGGCAGTGGTGGGTGAATTATTTAAGTCTTCCGGTGGCTTTCTGTTTACACGAATGTTTCCCAAGTGATTTGAAAGAGTTTCAAAGGAGAAAGCTTAGCACATTGGAAGGGAAATAAAAATGAAGATTATACTGTTTTATGAACTACAGGAAGGGATTTGAAGACCAGTGAAAAGAGAACAGGTGTGGTTGGGCTATCACATGAGGATAGGGGTGAAGAGAGAACATATAAAGGAAGTTTATGAGAGGCTAGCTGCATAGGGCTCAAAGTGGGACAGACAGATATTCAGATTTGAGCTGAAAAGGTGACCCCCCCCCCCAGGCTTTCCTCTAAGTTTCTTGGAGATGAAACCTCTTTACTGCATTTTCGTGCTACAGTGAGAAGTTCTGAGGAAGGAGATTGAAATCCCTCCCTTATGTCCTCTATAACCGGGACTGGAGCACATGTTTTTACCTCCTCACATCCCAGGGGAGCGCCGTCTGGAAGCCGGGGCCATGGTCCTGGCTGACCGAGGTGTGGTTTGCATTGATGAGTTCGACAAGATGTCTGACATGGATCGCACAGCCATCCATGAAGTGATGGAGCAGGGTCGAGTGACCATCGCCAAGGCTGGCATCCACGCTCGGCTCAATGCCCGCTGCAGTGTTTTGGCAGCTGCCAACCCCGTCTACGGCAGGGTAAGTGGAATCAGGCCCTTAACTATTGTCCTCATTTTCATTTGGTTTTGCTGAGAAGTTTATTCCAGGTGCCCCAGGGGAATAACAGGCCAAAGACTGAAAATAAGGTCATCATCTTGTTATTGTCCTTGGTTTAGAGTAGTGATTCCTCACCCATTCCTGTACAACAGAGTCCCCTGGAAAGCTGTTTATTTTAAAATAACTTTTTTTTTTTTGAGACAGAGTCTCACTTTTGTTGTGTTGCCCAGGCTAGAGTGAGTGAGTGCCGTGGTGTCAGCCTAGCTCACAGCAACCTCAAACTCCTGGGCTCAAGCAATCCTCCTGCCTCAGCCTCCCGAGTAGCTGGGACTACAAGCATGCACCACCATGCCCTGCTAATTTTTTCTATATATACTTTTAGTTGGTCAATTAATTTCTTTCTATTTTTAGTAGAGACGGGGTCTCGCTCAGGCTGGTTTCGAACTCCCGACCTCGAGCAATCCACCCGCCTTGGCCTCCCAGAGTGCTAGGATTACAGGCGTGAGCCACCGCGCCCGGCCGATTTTAAAATAACTTTTTAACAATACAAAGGACAAAACAAAAAATGACTGTAGTACAACCCAGGTCACCTGTATTGTCTGTCATTAAATAAAAGTGCTACATGCACATGACAGGAGAATTTCTAAATACAACAGAGAGATATAGTATGAAACTTCCTTCCTATCTTTTTTCTAAGAGATAACAGCTATGGAGTGTTTCAGAAAACAGAAATTGAAGCATGTACCAGCAAATACACTATCTCCTTGTTAAGAATTATCTCTTTATCTTTGTTTTTGGCATGACTGTGATGTGCTTAGGTTTAACCTTTTATATTTATCCTCCTTGGTTTGCAGAGTTTTGCCCCCCCCCACCTTTTTAAAACAGCTTTCAGTATTCCATTGTATAGATTTATAGTAATTTATTAAACTAATTTTTGTTTGATAGGCCGTTAGTGGCTTCCCTTTTTCCTTCCCACTATGAATGAAGCAGCAATGAACATCCCTTTATGTTTATTTTGTTATACCCATATTATAAATACCTAGTAATAGAATTACTGGATTAAGAGTTGTATGCATTTTTATTTTGGTAGAGATTGCAAAATTGCTCTCTAACGATTGTATCATATTAATACTTGTAATAACTAGAGCTTATAAATGCTTTATAGGTATCAACTCCTTGCATCCTCTCAGTAACTACCTCTCAGTAACTACAATGGGAAGTAGGTAGTTATCCTCATTTTACAGGTGAGAAAATGGAGGCACAAAGGTTATATAACTTGCTGAAGAGCCACAGTCTAGAAGATGGCAGAGCCAGGATTTGAACCCAGAGCTCACATGTACTCTGGCAGTTTATAATCACACGGTGTATGGGAACATTTGTTTTATTTGAGACAGAGTCAACTCTGTTACCCAGGCTAGAGTGCCATGGCATCAGCCTAGCTCCCAGCAACCTCAAATTCCTGGATTCAAGCAATCATCCTGCCTCAGCCTACTGAGTAACTGGGACTATAGGCATGTGCCACCATGCCTGGCTAATTTTTTCTTTATATATTTTTAGTTGTCCAATTAATTTCTTTTTATTTTTAGTAGAGACAGGGTCTCGTTCTTGCTCAGGCTGGTTTCGAACTCCTGAGCTTAAACGATCCACCCACCTCGGCCTCCTGGAGTGCTATGATTGCAGACGTAAGCCACAGCTCCTGGCGTGGTGGTATTTTTTTAAACATACAGATGCATGGTCCCCAGTCCAGATTTTCTGAATCTGAATCTCTGAGTTGGCATGCTTGGTAGCTATGGGTTAGAAAGGCTCCACAGATTGGTTTTATTATGTAGCCTAGGTTGAAAACTATATGTTTTTCTTTTTCTTTTTTTTTTTTGCAAATCCAGTTGATGGTTTTTAAATTATTAATAATGATACTGTGTATTTACATCATTCAGAAGAATGATTGGGAAATTTAAGAAAATGGCAGGACCTGAAATCATTACTTACAAGGTTGTCATGCTCTCTGACTGTGAAGTGTATGTAGGTAGGTAGGCAACAGCCTAGTAGGCCCAGCACTAGAAGATAAGAGTATCAGGGTACCTGGATCCGAAGGAAAAAGCTCCTTTGATTCCTAAGACATTATGATTTATAGATCATTGACCATTTTGGTTGAAATTTTACTCATTACCTTCTGAGTAAGGGACTCCAAAGTTTGTAGTTCTTTTGGCCTAACCAGCTTTCCTTGTGTTTATGACAGGTAGGGGAGAGGGAATCATCTTTTAGAGTTGATACTGCCTTGGGAATGAGAAGAGCAAAATCAAGCTTGGGAAGGAGAGAGCTGGTTTTGGGACCCACACTCACCCTGTTAGAGGTTCCTATGCTAGGAGGTGGGGCTTCTGAGTTAGATCGGGTCACCTGAACTTCGGTTAAAGAAGGTTTGCAGGTGGAAGAGATGATTTATGTATTTGTTTTCTTTTCTTTTTTTTGTTATTAACTTTCATGTTGTGATTTACATGTTTTATAGCTTTAAAATACTTTTTCACTGCCATTTTTTTTTTGTCTTGTTCTCTAAGATCTAGCCTTCCAGTCTCATTCCCAGAATCAATCCAGCCTCTTTATCCTTTCTTCCTATTGATGGTCACTTCCTTTTTTCTTGTGTTCCCCAGTATGATCAGTACAAGACCCCAATGGAGAACATTGGGCTGCAGGACTCGCTGCTGTCCCGATTTGACTTGCTTTTCATCATGCTGGATCAGATGGATCCTGAGCAGGATCGGGAGATCTCGGACCACGTCCTCAGGATGCACCGTTACAGAGCCCCCGGGGAGCAGGATGGCGATGGTGAGGCCATGAGGAGAGTAAGAGTGACTAACACAAGGGTTCCTAAACAGATGCTGTTGTCTTTGGCCCGGCCTGGGTGGTGGTGGCAGGTGTTTCAGTGTCCGGGGGTGATGTTGCCTAGCCACCTCCCTTGCTTGCTCACTGGAGTTTATCCTAAGGTAGTGTCTTTTGTCCATTTCTGGGTTTGGGCATATCTTTGAGCAACTTCTGTGGGTCAGGCAGTTTCCCCCTCTTTATTTGTGGTTCCACATGTTGGTTTCCTTCTGGGTCCTTTCTTTGTGAATCTTGGTCTTTTCCTTTCTTGTGCTTTAGAAGATGCAGTTTCCTGAGTTAAACTCTTTCTCACTCTCCTTTCTCCCAACTTTGGTTTACCAGCTATGCCCTTGGGTAGTGCTGTGGATATCTTGGCCACCGATGATCCCAACTTTAACCAGGAGGACCAGCAGGACACCCAGATTTATGAGAAACATGACAACCTTCTGCACGGGACCAAGAAGAAAAAGTGAGCATTCCTCATACCTCTCCCTTGAGGGAACCTGAGATTTGTGTCATAATAGAACACATGTATATCTGAGCTTATTTAAGGCATTATGTGCCTGGGCCAAAGTCATGCCTGGAGTCATAACCATGTGGGCCAGTTTTCTTTTTTTCTAGGTCCACAGATAAACCGTTTATCTGGGCCAGTTGCCCAGATGTTTGTGTAAATGTTTGTGAGTGGCTCAGCTCAGGTTCAGATCTTTTCTTAAAATAGAAGGTTTTGGCAACATGCCCAATTGGTGGTGGGTGTATGATATCTTCCTTATACATGAATTGCACGTGTCGTATAGCTGTTTGTGGCGAAGGCTCAGTAGATAGCAAGCATTGGAGACTCTGCAAGTAGATTTGGGTAAAGGAGACTTGTGATCAGGTCCTCAAAGCATGAAATGTAGGATCCTACACCTCTTTTTTTGGCCATGTTGCAGTAAGAAGCATAGCATAATCTTCAAAGCTGTTGGTTTAAGAATGTAGAATTTAGAGTCAGAAAACTGAACTTGAGTCCATTTTAGTTTCTCTGAGCCATAGTTTTCCCACCTATACAACAGAGCAAATAATACCTAAACTTCCTACTTAAACTACCTGATTCACAAATAATACCTAAAACAATTAAATTAAAATAAAGATATGTGAAAGGGCCTTGTGTGTGTTCCACTTAAATGGGAGTTGTGATAATGGGTTCTAGGCCTTGTCTCTGCTGTGCCATTTGAGCTTGACTTTTCTCAGGAGAGGCAAAGCACTAATTGAGGCAAGTATAAAGTATGGCAGAGAAATGGAATTCACTGTGTGTGGCTCCAGGGAGAAGATGGTGAGTGCAGTGTTCATGAAGAAGTACATCCATGTGGCCAAAATTATCAAGCCCATCCTGACACAGGAATCGGCTGCCTACATTGCAGAGGAGTACTCACGCCTGCGCAGCCAGGATAGCATGAGCTCAGACACCGCCAGGGTGAGTGCCCCAGGGTAGCATTGATCTGGGGTCCCTTAGGAATATGGCTGGGACAGGAGTCCCTGCTGTCGGGGGATTTGAAAACATTTTAACTTAGTGATTCTTTCTTGGTCTGAAGGGCTTCCTGTTACATAATTTTAACCTTTTTATTTTACAAGGGAAAATGAAGTAAGGACCCCAGAGATAAGATATATCTCATTAGTTCAAATAACATTGGCCTCCAGAAGCTGTGATTCATTCAGCAAACATATGAGTGACTTCTGAGAACTGACCTAGTCTTTACTCTTACATGCAGTGTAAAATTAACAAGAGCCCTCCTCAAAGAGCTCAGATGTAGAGAAGGAAACAGAAAGGCAGATAGATCTTTTATACATATTTGTAAATACCCCAGTGTGGTACTTACAAAGGAATGGAATGTGGAAGGCTATTTGAGTATAGATGAAGAATCTATTAATTTCTCCTTTAAAGTTCCCCGAAGGGGTATAATGTTAAGGAAGGATTCCCAGAGAGTGTGATATTTGGGCTGGACTTTGACAAATGACTAGCAGTTGGGCAACCATGATGGTTATCCAGAGGAATTTCTAGTAACTTGATATAGCTGTCCTTGAATTTGTCTGAATCTTTTAGGGGCAGTGTCATTCATATAGGATTTTACAGACCCAAGTTCAAAACCTTCATTTTATGACGTAGACATAGATTCTTGAGTTTAGACACGATCCCAGCTCATCTCTACTTCAGCCTCACACACATTCTGTCTTCTGGAATCTTAACACAACCAGAGATAGCCTGTTCACAACAGTACTGTGTTGAAGTCTTAGAATATTCTATTTATTGAGGTTAAACCTGCTTCCTCATGACTTCTACCCATGGATTTTAATTTTGCTTTCTGGAGATTGTATATCAGTTGTCTTCATGTTAAGCAGCTCCCTTTCTTTTTAACTGTTCTTCCCTCCATGTGAACTTGTTCCATGTGTCAGAGGCCCTCTCATTGAACCTAGAACTGAGCATAAGACACCATTTAAGATGTGATCTTAGGGTGCATGGGGTTTGTAAATCCCTTGGTTGGGACTCTAGTTCTGCTGGTGCAGGCAGGGGTTTCCCCAGCTTTTTAGGTGATTCAGGAATTAGTGTGACCTTGGAAAACTTATTGAAGCTCTTTGAATTTCTTTCATCTGTAAAACTTCTCCAAGTTATTAAGAGGGGTGAATGACAGAATGAATATATTTGAAAGCAAACTTCCTGGTGTGTTGTAGTGATTATTTTTTTTTTTTGAGACAGAGTCTCACTTTGTTACCCAGGCTAGAGTGAGTGCCGTGGCATCAGCCTGGCTCACGGCAACCTCAATCTCCGGGGCTCAGGGATCCTCCTGCCTCAGCCTCCCGAGTAGCTGGGACTACAGGCATGCGCCACCATGCCCGGCTAATTTTTTGTATATATATTTTTAGTTGGTCAATTAATTTCTTTCTATTTTTGGTAGAGACGGGGTCTCGCTCAGGCTGGTTTCGAACTCCTGACCTTGAGCAATCCGCCCGCCTCGGCCTCCCAAAGTGCTAGGATTACAGGCGTGAGCCACTGCGCCCGGCCTGTAGTGATTATTTTTCTCCCCTCACTTTTGTACTCTTTATAGTCTTTTATCTTTCCAGCCTTGAGATGCCTTGTTTTCTCCCTCAGTACTCTCTTACGTATATTTCCTTGATAATTTTTGTTACCTTTCTGAATTTTATATGGTATTTATAGAGAATGAAGAGCTCTGAATTCTTTGCTCAGGCTTCCTGGAGCTTTTTTAGTAGTGTTTTTATTGCCCTTGCTGTGTAGTTGGAATTATGGGCGTGTCTAAAGGATTCTGGGTAAGTAATCCTTGAGTTTTCTTCCCCAGACATCTCCAGTTACAGCCCGAACTCTGGAAACTCTGATTCGATTGGCCACGGCCCACGCGAAGGCCCGCATGAGCAAGACTGTGGACCTGCAGGACGCAGAGGAAGCTGTGGAATTGGTCCAATATGCTTACTTCAAGAAGGTGAGGATTCAGGTGCCTTGGCTTGAGATGCTTTTTTACATAAGTCATGGCTGACACCTGCATTTGGATTGTCAACAGAAAGCAGCATTTGTCTGCCAGTGTTCAGCCTGCCTTGCTCCTTCCTCTGGAACACACAGTGATTCTCAACCCTGGCTGCACCCGAAAAGCAGATGGCAAGCTTTAAAATATGGAAGCCAGGGCTCCTAGGGATTCTGGTTTAACTGATGTGTCATACTTTCAGTCAACTACTTCTGTCTACCCCTCCTTCCTTTGCATCTTAAAAATGTTGGTATCTCCAAAGGAGTTACCTGGATAATCTTCCTCTTCCCTCTGTACCCTTCCCCTTGACAGTCTCTTCATGTGTCCCATTGGCAACTCTAAAGCTTATGTTAAAAGTTGAACTCTCAGACTTGCCCCTTATCCTATTTCCCTATTTCTGTTTGTGACACTATGTCTGTGTCATTTAGATACCAAACCTTGAAGCCTAGACTCCCTTTTTCTGGTTGTCTATCTCTTCCCTAGTCTGGGGAATTCTAATCCTTTGGGATTTGGCTGTGAGTTTGATAAGCTTTTCCTGGCCTTTTCTCTTTGCTAGGTTGGAGGGTGTCTTAAATTGTTTTCCACTTCACCATTATGGGCTGAACACTTTTTTCATTTGTTTTTTTATTCAGTAAACATATATTGAGTATGTACTCTGTGAAGGGCATTGAACACACCTCTTAGCATTTTTAAAAGATGAGTAGCAGCCTCTCTCCCTGCCCCTGGTGCTAGGACTTTGAGACAAGAGGCTAGGTAAGCCATTGGAAACATGGAAGTCACTCTTGCTGATGGTGGAGAAAGGACCCTTATCAGAGTTTGCGATGCAGTCTCCAGCATCAGTGACCTCTCCAGCACCCACCCCACAACCACCTGCCTTGGTCCTAGGTTCTGGAGAAGGAGAAGAAACGTAAGAAACGAAGTGAAGATGAATCAGAGACAGAAGACGAAGAGGAGAAAAGCCAGGAGGAACCTCAGCAGAAGAGGAAGAGGTAAGGTGGGGCAGAATGAAATGAGATGAAAGGGCTCCAATTTGGGCTGGGGAGAGAGGTGGAGGCTGGATCCAGTGCTACTTGCTGATGTCAGGTTCTTCAGGGGCAGGCGGGGTGCTAACACTTGTGTTTAATATGTATGTTGCTTTTTACCCCTTTCCCGCTAGAGAAATGCTGAATAGCAAGAGCAGTAACCCACTCACTGAGGATTTTGAATATGTATTTCAAAATTCTTGAGATAATTTTCTCTGCATGCTTGTGGTTGAGTCTATAAGGGTGGAATATATGGGAAAAGAGCACTGGGAAGCACAGCCTGTTTATGTTCCAGTCTGGAGATTCAGTCTCTTTCAGAAAAAGTAGCAATTGGTACAGGCCTAAGCCTAGTGCTTCACTTTAATTATGGATGATTCTATTTCCTTTTCTTTGTGGTCAGAGGCACGGGATGGGCTTCCCCAAAGCCTTTCTCTCTGTTAACTGCTGTGGGTATTTTAGGAGGAGGACTCGCCAGTCGGATGCCAAAGAGGGGGATTCATATGACCCCTATGACTTCAGTGACACAGAGGAGGAAATGCCTCAAGGTGAGTGAGTGTCCCTTACTGATCAAAGAGGTTGTTCCTTTGAGTCCTGAATTCTTTTAGTTGCTCAATGCACTGTATTTTCTTGTGGGCTCCTGTTCGGCTTCCTGCTTGGGGCCCAGTGTCCAAAAGGTTTGTGTCAGGAGAACCTCAGGGGAAACCCACAACAAAAAAAAAAAAAACACAAAATCTTTGCTCAGTTGTTTATTTCTACCTTGGTGAACTGTGCTCTTTTGACCCACCTAGTGTAAGTATCCCCGATAACATGTCTTTTGAAGCCTCCTGCTTGACTCAGTACCTTTGTCATCCTGTGGGGATTGCCCTTTATCCTGATTGTTCTGCCTGGCCCGGGAAGAACCCTAGGGAATAGGCTCGGTAAGGGAAGGGGAGTGGAGAAGAGGACTTCTGGTATTTGTGGAAATGGCTTCACCTTGCTGTCTTCTCCATCTCTGAAACCATCCATCCTCTGAAGTGCATACTCCAAAGGCAGCAGACTCACAGGAGACCAAGGAGTCCCCGAAGGTGGAGTTGAGTGAATCCAGGTGAGTAGGGAAGTTGCTCTTACCCTTTTGGGAATTCCATTTATTACTTAGGCAAGAACTTGTTCTTGCGGAGAGAAAGAAAAAAAATTGCTGGTTATCTACAGGATTCCAAACTAGAGGCCCAAGTGGTTTTTTTTTTGTTTTTTTTTTTTTGAGACAGAGTCTCACTCTGTTCCCCAGGCTAGAGTGCCATGCCGTGGCGTCAGTCTAGCTCACAGCAACCTCAAACACCTGGGCTCAAGCAATCCTCCTGCCTCAGCCTCCCAAGTAGCTGAGACTACAGGCATGTGCCACCATGCGCGGCTAATTTTTTCTATATATTTTTAGTTGTCCAATTAATTTCTTTATATTTTTAGTAGAGACAGGGTCTCACTCTTGCTCAGGCTGGTTTCAAACTCCTGACATTGAGCGATCCTCCCTCCTAGGGAGGTGCCATGGTGCTGGCAGAGAGCCATGGTGCCTGGCCTCAAGCGTTTTTAAAACATTTTATATCTGATTCTTATTTCAAACTTACTAAAAAGCTATGAGAAAAACTTGGAGAATTTCTGTATATCCTTTACCCAGAATCCTCAGTTGTTTATATTTTATCGTTTGCTTTATTAATAATTCCCTCTCTGGGAATTCGAATTGTGTCCCTGTGGGATCAGAAAGAAGAACAGCAAGGACAAAATTTGTGTCTTATTGTAAGTTTGAATACTTCTTGGTAGTAAAGATATATTTTTCCTCACTAAATTTTGGACATTTGTTTTTGAAATGAAGAATTTATCTGTAAATTTTGTTTATTAGACATCAAAGAAACTCCATAGCTAAGGTTTACTTTTTCCTTTTTTATACCTTCAACACATAACAGTATGTTTAATGAAGAAAATTTGAAAAATATTGAAAAATATTTAGGAAAAAACATTAAATCAATTGTAATGCCACTCCCCAGACATAACCATCGAACTATATCTTAAAATGCTTCTGAATCGGCTCACACAGATCTCACTCTTTTTAGTGACTGCAGGGTTTCCATAGTGTGGTTGAATAAAAAACTATTTAGTGAGGTCTCTAATGATGGGCATTTGGGTTCCCTGTTTATAGTAAAAGATTCTTAAACTTTTCACTGTACACTCATGCGGGTGTAGCTGTGAGTTCCTAGAAATGGACTCCCTGGGCCCAAAGGATATGTGCTTTTAAAACTTTACTTAAGTGTTGCTGAATTGTCCCCCATAGGTGTTGACCAATTTGCCTTTCTACAGTGCATGGGAATGCCAACTTCCCCCACACTCAGAGGCCTCTAGTTTTAAAGTGCTGTTATTTCTCACTGTGCAGGAAGCTCTGTAGTACAACAGTCTGGCTTTAAAGGGGGATGCTCAGGTGTGGAGCAGCCATCAGAGGCAGGCATGTGTGTGTGAGAATATTTAGGGCCACCTCTACGGCATTAATACCTTGTATTTTCCCAGTATGGATCTTGCCTGAGGGCATTTGGGCTTGTTGACTCCTCCTTCACTGTTTTTTTTTGTCTTGGGCAGACTGAAGGCATTCAAGGTGGCCCTCTTGGATGTGTTCCGGGAAGCTCACGCACAGTCAGTGGGCATGAATCGCCTCACAGAATCCATCAACCGGGACAGAGAAGAGCCCTTCTCTTCAGTGGAGATCCAGGCTGCTCTGACCAAGATGCAGGATGACAACCAGGTCATGGTGTCTGAGGGCATCATCTTCCTCATCTGAAGAGGCCTCCCATGTTCCCATTCCCCTCCCCCACCCTCCTCTTTGCCTTCATCGCCAATAACAGTGTTAATTGAACTGAAGTTGAGGGACAGTGGTGAGGAAGCTGAATCAGCACTCTGGAAGCTCTGGGAATGGCGATGGAAGCTGTGTGGGGTAAGGACAGAGGAGAAAGTGGGGAAGGACGGGACTATTGCACCTTCATTGCAGCAGCGCTGGCTACGCTCCCGCCTCCTACCCCAAACAACCCAGTTGTTATTGTCTGTAAATAACATGTGACTTCAGAGTACTTTTTATGGCCCAGCTGATTTCTGTTTATCTTTTCTATCTGTTGGCTGTTCCAGAGCACTTTGGTCTAGACTAGGCTTTAGGGTGTTGTATGCTGGGGAGGGAAACTGAGGTCAGTCATGTCAGTCAAGAAAGCTTTCTTTGCAGTTAAGACTGTATGTCATATGTATGTTTGACCAGAACATCCAAGACATTGAATAAACTTAACCATTTTGTACACATGGCCTTAAGACTGTGTGCTTTTTATACACACATTTAAAAATTTTGTTTTTGGTGAGCTTGCTCCCCAGCAGGGTTTGCTGCTCCCGTATTTGCACCAAGCCACCACAAGGTGGCAGCAGCTTGCTGCGGTCTGTCTCTGGGGGTCATGTCTTCAGTGTTTCCTTGCTCAGTAACACTAGCATTTTAGTCAGAATTGACAGTGCAAACCAAACCTTGTCAATTTGGAAGAGCCAAATGGCCACTGGAGGCCAGTGAGTCCAGGAGAAGAATTAACCCTATGTCTCGCTTTTCTGAACTTGAATTTAAGCCCCTTCATAGAAAAATAACACCTGTTATGTCAGACAGCTCAAATTCCTATGAGTTCTGGCCTATAAAGAGATCCCATTGCAGAATACTTTTGAAATTACCTGGCTGTCCACTCTTTGGGGTTTGTTAGCCAGTTTCCACAGAAGCTTGTGGCAGGCTTGGGCAGGCCTTCTCTACTACTATTGTATGGTTTGAGTAGCTTCAGAAGAACTTTTGAGGTGACTTAAATAACAAGAAAAAACAAAAATGTGTGACTTTCTGGTGGGCCTGGATTGGAAGCTGCTTTCGGGTGGCAGATGTAGTTCTGAGGAGAAATTGTGCTGGTTCTCACATGGAAGATTGTTGAGGTACTTATTTCTCCCTTTTGGCCAAGGGGTAGCCCTTTTCCATGAAGCCAAAAAGCAGAAGATTTTCTTTGGTTTTTCATGGCCAAGGGATTTTTTTTTTTTCTTAAGGGAGGGCATAATTATTGTGGAGTTCAATTTTAACTTGGTGATTGTTTTCCACACATGTGAGATCCAGGTCCTATTGGAAGTGTTCTAAAGAGCACAGATTCCAAGGGGAGTGCAATGGGACTGGAAGGAGAAATTTGATGTTATTAATTGAGCATTTCAATGAGTCAGAATTTGTGCTAGGTGTGGCAGTGGGTGCAAAAATGAGACTAAAGTGCAATTATATGCCAAATGAGGGCACACACGACAAGAACTATCAAAATCCAGGGGGGCCACGAGAGTGTCAGGGGGAGAGTGTGAAATTCTGATAGGCACTGTTATGAAGAAAAGCTAGGGGTTTTAATGTATTTCCTCAAATGATCTGTTCCAGAAAGGCTGAACCTTTTGTCAGTAGGACTCTTAACTCTATCCTTCACCCCTGAGGAAACTGAGGCACCGACCATTTGGGTAATAGCTAGAATGTCAGGTTTACTTGGCTGACCATTTCTGCTCTCTTTAAGCTAGCCAAAAGAGTAGAAGGTGGAAGACATTGTTTCCACAGCCACAATAGATGTAAATTGTATTAAAATGAATTTTAGGAGCTCACTGAATCTTTATGTTGAGTTTTAAGAACTGTGTAGTTTCCCAACCTTCTAGGCAACAGAAGAGAGTTGTAGATGTTCACAGGTGGTTCTTGCTCACTGAGTGGCCGTCCACTGCTGGACTGCTGAAAGAGCTGCTCAGGCAGGCACGTGACAGTCTACAGGCCAGTGGCCCCTGAGGGTGTCACTGTTGCCACGCTGCAGAGATTGCAGTGGTGACCCAGATTCAACAGGAAAAAAATCTAAATTATCTACATGCCTCATTCCAATGACATCTGTTTACATTTAGGTTTGACATCTGAAATTCTGTAGTTAAAAAATTCGTGAGGCTCATAGAAGTATTTTGTATCCTGAAACATTTTGACAGCTTGTTCCCATACTCATCTCCTGGATAAACAAAGTGGACACGTGAAGGAAGTTTTTTCAAAAAAGACAATTTGATAAGTGTTGCTGGGATGAGTCCTCTTGCCAATACCAACGTAACTCAGGTGAGTTTTGAGATTTGTATATTCAGGCTGTTAAACATAAGGGGATCATTTACTAGCCTTGTGAGATCGCAACCGGACAGCAGGTCAAGTTCCTGCTGCTTCATGGTGGGTATGTTACCACGGTTCGGGGGCCCATTAAACCAAAATGAACATCATTTTGATAGATGCTTAAAGACAGGGATCCATTTCAATAGCATTTGAAAAGGTTCACCCTTGTTACACTCCTGAGCTTTTCCCCCCTCCCTGGCTGTTCTACCCCCATCAGTGTGGCTCTGACTTGAGCACTTCTCACAGGGCAGTTCCTTACCATTAGCCTGTGGCCGTGGTTTCTGCAGCTTTCTCTCCCAGGACAGTGTTAGCTCACAACAGCCGTGAAGGAGGGTTAGGAAACGTGGAGAGACTTGCCAAACCAAAGAATCGGCCGGTTACCTCCTTCTCCCTGGGGAGATTTCAAACTACGTCAGTCTTCATGATTCTAGACTTCCTGAGAGGTGAAGTCCCCCAGAGGGTTTGGTCCAGTGGAATAAGGAAGATGGGAGAGTCAGGCTGGGGCTGGCTGCTTGACCTCCTACAGCCCTCATCATGGCTTGTCTCCCTCCCTCCTCAAGAGCCTGGGAACACCCCATATCTGCTTCACAGGAGCAAGAAGGGGCGGTTGCACAGGAAATCCACCAGGCCAAAGGTTGGCAGAGGGAATGAGCCCTGCGCTGGAAGCAACTGAGTTCCTTTTCTTTTCTTTTTTTTTTGAGACAGAGGTCTCACTCTGTTGCCGGTAGAGTGCCGTGGTGTCAGCCTGGCTCACAGCAACTCAAACTCCTGGGCTCAAGTGTCCTCCTGCCTCAGCCTCCCGAGTAGCTGGGACTGCAGGCATGCGCCCATGCGCGCTCATTTTTTTTTCTATATATTTTTATTGGCAAATAATTTCTTTCTATTTTTTTAGTAGAGACTGGTTTGCTCTTGCTCAGGGCTGGTTTCCAACTCCTGACCTTGAGTGATCCTCCTGCCTCGGCCTCCCAGAGTGCTAGGATTACAGGCATGAGCCACGGACCCGGCCTGAGTTCCTTTTCTGACACTGCGTAGCTGAGTTAACGTGTCACTTCCTTAGAGGAGAGGGCATGGTTTCTTTGTCTGGGAAAGGATGTGGTTGAACTAGGTGATCTCTGAGGTCCCTCTGGTAATGTATAGGATTTTATTTACACCTAGTGTCAGTTCTAGCACAAGACACTTCAGCCCAGGCACCACCTCATAAAACCTGGGTTGGGCTGCTTGCGGGGGCAGGTCAGGGCAGGCCTTGTATCGGCCTGTTAGAAACATGCCTCTTAGGGGAAGTGGCTTCTGTGCTTCCCTGTTTTGTACGTAGTGCCCCAGGGTGTTTCCTTTGATCTCGAGGGATTTCATTCCTAGAAAGATTTTAGAAGAAAATTTTAATTCCATTTTAATTTGCTGAGCTATAAACCTAGCTTAACTTTCTTTTTCAGGTTTGATGCCTCAGTGGTGAGTCTCAGATTTTAGCTGGTCCATTACTAACCAGCATGTAATCCTAGTTCGTTCTCTTCAGTCTTTCCTCAAGGGAGAGAATTGACATTCTGAATTCTTTTCCTGAATGTTTTTACTATTAAGTTCTGAGTATTTTCCCACCCTCTGGAGGATATTAGCCTCTGCAGAGATTTACCATTCTGATAATAGTTCTCCCAGTAGGTACTTTTTGTAGCAAGCTAAGCTTTCCTACCCTTAAGGACCACTATTTAACCTTGCAATGGAAAGGTTGGGTCATGCCATCTTGCATATGTGTGCAGCTATTCTAGTAATTTAAATGGTTGTGGTTCTGAGTGAGAAGCCATAATAAAGTCTAATAAAATCTCCTCAAACTAAAGATGGAACTTAACTATGTATGTGGTTCTGTTTTTAAAAAATATTATGACTAATAAAATATAACATGGAATATTCAAGAAGGAAAGAACAAAAATGATCTTACCACCCTAATATAACTACTCAAACTTATTTTTGGTAAACTTTAAAACCAGTTTTAAGTCCAGTTTTAAGTAACACTTCATGATATATCCAGTTGTATCAGCAAGTTTCAGATTAGACATTGGAGATTGAGATGAATAAACAATAGTCTAGGAATTTAGGGACTAGGAATGTTTTTGAAAAATTGAATTTGAAGTCATATTTCTGAAAATCTGCAGAAGAAATGCAAGTGTTCACATGTTACATTTCACCCTAGTGGACAATAAAAAGGAAATTAAAGTTAACATACGGATGATGTATATATATAGGTTCCAAACTCACAACCAAACTTTGACTCCCAGAAACAATTTCATGCACTTTAGTGATTGGGGCAGATCAGGAGTGGTCTGTTACTATATGCTAAGCCCCATATAAATTATCTCATTAAATCTTCCCTACAATATTATGACAGATGTTATCTCAATTTTATAGAAGAAGAAATAAGTCTAGAGATAATTGGATAATTTGTCCAGGGTCTCACAGCTAGTAGGTGGTGGGGCTCTAAATTCACACCCAAGGGTATCTTGATTCTTACTAATAACCACTGTGTTCTAACCAGCGTAATGTGCCGCTGGCTTCAAAGGATTTCAAAGCACTGGGAGTGCCCTGGGGAGCTCGAGGTGGTCAGAGTTACATGTATGAGTGCACCTGTTGGATGGGGTGGCAGAATTCTGGTATGACGAGAGGTCTGCGTGGGTACCAGTGTCCAGAGATGAAATTGAAGACCTTTCAGATTAATAATTGATGATGCTGTCTGAGCAATCTCAGGGATTTGCCCTAAGGGCAAAGAACCCTATTTAGCAATGACTGCTGTTTGCTATTTCATTATCATGTCACCAAAGCCCTAGTGATACGAAAGATGTAAGGCGTGCTCAACAGAACACTGCCTTCTGGATCCTGTTAAGATCTTTCTTTCTTTCTTACCTTCTTTCTTTCTCTCTTTCTTTCTTTCTTCTTCTTCTCTTCTTTCTCTTTTTTTTCTTTCTTCTTTCTTCCTTTCTTCCTTTTCTTCTTCTTTCTTCCTCTCCCTTCTTCTCTTTTCCTTTCTTCTTCCTTCCTTCCTCCTTCCTTCCTTCCTTCCTCTCCTTCTCCTTCCTTCCTCTTCCTTCCTTCCTTCCTTCTTCCTCTCCTCTTTTTCTTTCTTTTTTTCTCTTTTCTTT